TACCCGTGGGTGAAGAGTCCCTTGAGTAGTGGATTCATCCCTTCGACCTGAATCGCGGCAACGTGTGCAGGCCGGCTGAGAGCGTCTGCTTTGTTCTTGTGGCCGGGCTTGTACACGATGTCGTAGTGGAAGTGTGTCTCGAGGAAGTCAATCCACCGGACCTGCCGCCTGGAAAGGTTGGGTTGTGTCTTCAAGTATTTCAGGCTGCAGTGGTCGGTGTAGACGGTTGTTCTTCGTCCTTCGAGATAGCATCTCCACGCTTTGAAGGCGATGATGATAGCCAGGGCCTCTTTGTCGTGTATCGGGTAGTTTAGTTCTGCCCCGTGCAATTTCTTGCTGAGGTAGGCAATTGGTTGCAGTCCATTCCCTTGGTCTTGCATTAAGACTGCACCCACGGCCTGATCACTGGCGTCTGCTTCAATGACGTAGTCACGTTCGGGATCTGGCAAGATGAGCACCGGTGCGGATGTTAGTGCTTGTTTCAGCTGCTCCACGGCTTCCTGGTGCTTCGTCTCCCATTTGTAGGGCGTGTTCTTCTTCAGCAGATTCGTGAGTGGTGCCGCGAGTTTCGCATACTGTGGCACGAACCTGTTGTAGTAATTAGCGAAGCCTAGGAACTGCTGCAACTCCTTCACGTTCTCGGGTGTCTTCCACGTACGTACGGCTTCGATTTTCTTGGCGTCGACGTGAACTCCTTGAGCGCTCACCATGTGCCCTAGGAACTGGACCTTTTCAAGGGCGAATTCGCTCTTGGACAGTTTGACGTAGAATCGTTCCCGTCGAAGAATTTCGAAGACGCGTCGCAGGTGTTCGACGTGCTGCTTCATGTCGCGCGAGTAGATGAGTATGTCGTCCAGGTACACCACCACGCATTCGTCCAGAAGTGGTCGTAGAATGTGGTTCATTTCGGCTTGGAACGTTGCCGGCGCGTTGGTGAGTCCGAATGGCATGACCAAATACTCGTACGATCCGTACCGAGTTCGAAAAGCAGTTTTGTGGATAGAGTTGTCCGCCATCCGTATCTGCCAGTATCCGGACCGCAGATCCAGTTTGGAAAATACCGTAGCTCCCCGAAGCTGGTCAAGCAGGTCATCGATTCGCGGTATCGGATATTTATTCTTGATGGTCTGCTTGTTAAGAGCTCGGTAGTCGATGCACATGCGCAGGCTTCCGTCCGGTTTCGGTGTGAAGAGTACTGGGGCACCGTATGGCGAAGTGGATGGCCGGATGAGTCCTTTGGCTAGGAGATACTCGATCTGTTTTTTCATGTCAGTCAGCTCCGTAGGGCTGAGCCGATATGGTGCTCGGAAGGTCGGCTTCGAACCCGGTTCCTCCACGATCTCGTGTTGATGCGTTCGGTATGGCGGTAGCTCGTTCGGAAGATCGTCAGGAAGAATGTCTTGGAACTCCTTTAATAATTCCTTGATTTTTTCTGGAGTTTCCGAGGCTTTCTCTCCGTCATTCTCCACCTCTGTTGCTATCGCCAGGAACCCGGTGTCGGTCCGCTTCACATCCTTCTCGAATCGTGCGAGTGTCTCCACTGGGATATCTCCAGTATCGTCTCAGTTGGGTAGCTGTACTCTCCGCCCATTGTTGTAGATGCTTGCGGTGCGGTTCACCCAGTTGATCTCGGGGTTGAATTTTTTCAGGAAGTCTCGCCCGAAGATCAAGTCAAGCCCTTTGATGTTGGTGATGGGGAGTGCAGGTCTCCAGCGCAGTGGTCCAATTTGTAGGTGTAGCACTGCTTCGCCGTGTACTGGTAACTTGCTGCCGTCCACCATCGTTGCAGAGAATCCTGAAGGTTTGTACTCTCCCCGTAGTCGGTCGATTACTGCCTTGTTGCAGACGGTGTGTGACGCTCCGCTGTCCACGAGTGCTTGGAGGCGTCCTCCTTTGCAGATGACCTCGAGCACGAGGGGCAGTCGTTGCTCGGAGTACCCAAAGATAGTTTCATTGATTGGGTCATAGGGTACATCCCAATACTCCGTACACACCTTTGTGTTGCTGTCTACTCCTGAGCTGGCAGCTGGCCGAGGCTGCTTGGAGAACGGCTCTTCTCCAGTTTCCCTGACGACTGTGCGCGTCACTGATGCCGAAGAACTGGATGCATCCGTAGGAGGAGTTCGGGGTTTGTGCAGCTTCTTGTAGACCCCCAGCTTCCTCTTGAGTTGCTTCAGCTCCACCGACGTCTTCCCTGGGGAGCGGGTAGTCGTTGTGGGCTGGTGTCGGGAGAGGACGTTGACTCCGTGGAAAGGTCGGCTTCTTTCCACACTCCTTAATTTGGTCCCCAGGTTGTCAGGTACCGGTATAATCTCCACAGCTGTCTGCTTCTTTTGGAGTCCCTCCTGAAATTTCTCCAAGGCTCTAGCCCCTCGAACATCATAAGTTTTCATTAAAGCATCTTTATAAGATAACTTTAACGAATTCTTATAATTTCTTGGGTCTTCAAGGAGTTTCCCTGTCTCGGCAGAGTCTTTTTTCGCGGAGTCGTATTTTTCCTCGGCGATTTTCCCTGGCGAGGACTGGTCGTGGGGTGGAGATTTTCCCCCATCATTTCCTCCTTCTCGCGTCGAATCAGCTTCGTCGAAGTTGATTTTCCCGGAATCCCGCGGCCGCTTTCGGATCTTTTTATTTTCGCCAGCTAGATCCGCAATCACTGGCGACTCCCGTTTTTTGTCTTCTGATTGGCCGAAAGATTTCCGCCACTGTTGCGTGCCCGATACTCTGCGCGTGTGGCCTTCATTTTGTTGCAGTCGAAGATTCGGTGGCCCGGCACCCCGCAAAAATCACACGTGTAGTTGGTGTTTTTCGGACGTGGCCGCCCCTCGAATCTGTCGACTTCCATCGGGTCGGCGAACGTGGGGTGAGCCGAGCGGTCGCCCTGTCGCGTACTGCCGACGTGCGTCCGTCGTGTTCCGGCGTTGACCATGTCGAAGCGCTCCGCTGCCGAAACGACGTCACTGTAGCTCGCGTAGTTTGACGCTGCGACTTGTCGTTTGACTTCGGTCTTCAGCCCGGCGAGGTACGATTGTACTTTTTCCCCTTCGGTCAGGTCGGGAATGCGGTTATAAAATTCCTCCATCTGCTGCGTGTACTGCGCTACACTCCCGAACTGTCGGTGTCGATGAATTTTTTCCCGGGCAAGGAAACTCGAATTTATCGGTTCGAAGCGTTTCAGCAGGTCGGCGCGGAACTGCTGCCACGTGGCTTCACCGTGGATGAAAGTACTGTTGCCGCCAATCCACTCGAGTGCCGGCCCTCGCATCAGTGTCGCCGCGAGTCGTACACGTTGACCGTCCCAGACTGGCGAGCTCCATCCGACGGCTGCGAAGTAGATCTCCATCCCGGCGATCCATCTGCGGGCGTCGGAGTTTCGATCGCTCGGATCGAACGGCTCAGGTGGGCGCGGTTTCGGAGCCTTGAGAAACTGCTGCGACTGCTGCGTCGTCGCCGTTGTCGTCTCGTGCTGCGCTCCGGCGAGTCGAGTTACTCGCTCGAACTGGTTTCGCCACGCTTCGCGATCCGCTCGCATTTCCTCCTGAAGGGCTGCGATGCGCGCGAAGAGCTGCTGGGTAACCTCGGCGTTGTCGAAGGTTGCCATCCTGTTCAAAACACGCACGGAGGGGGTAATTCGAAAATCGCGGAGCTGGTGCTTACCAGAATCGGCGTCGAATTGGTCGCCCCCGGCGGTTTTTCGAGGCAAGATCCCCGCTGCTGCTGCTTAGCTGAGCGCGGTCGAGTGAGAAAAGCTCTGATTACCAAGTGTCACAGGATCGAATGTGTCGAGGAAAGGTTGCACTATCGATCAGTACAAGGCGCTTTTATACTTCCAGAGTACATCAGGTAACCAGGTTTATCTTATCCTAAGGGAATAGACCCTTCTAGAAGATAGAATCACCCTGCGTATAGCCACGCGAGGCTATTGGCTTTAAGGGATTACGGCAGGATTACGCTAGATATAGCGCACCAGTACATCCCAAGCCTGGTCGGTGATATAATTATAATAGCAGGATAAACCAAAGGTTAATGGAAGAGGAAGAATAGGAAACCAAATGAGATGAGATAAAAAGAGAAATGAAAAGGGAAGGAAATAAGAAAAGGCCAAGTGGTGTAACGGGGTCGTACTCTCACAGGAAGGAGGGACGGGGCCCAAGAGGGGCTCGACGGGGCCCAGGAGGGGCGCTACGGGGCCTAGGAGGGGCGTTACGGGGCCCAGGAGGGGTGCGACGGAACCCAGGGGGGGGCGCTACGGGGCCCAGGAGGGGCGCGACGGGGCCCAGGAGGGGCGCTACGGGGCCCAGGAGGGGCACTACGGGGCCCAGGAGGGGCGCTACGGGGCCCAGGAGGGACGCGACGGGGCCCAGGAGGGGCGCTACGGGGCCTAGGAGGGGCGCGACGGGGCCCAGGAGGGGCGCTACGGGGCCCAGGAGGGGCGCTACGAGGCCCAGGAGGGGCGCGACGGGGCCCAGGAGGGGCGCTACGGGGCCCAGGAGGGGCGCGATGGGGCCCAGGGGGGGCGTGACGGGGCCCAGGAGGGGCGCGACGGGGCCGAGGAGGGGCGCGACGGGGCTTGGGGGGTCGCGACGGGGCTAGGGGCACGCCGGGGCTAGGAGGGAGGCACGGCTAGGGGGGCGAGCGGAAGCGGTAGGTGGGGGGGGATCCTAACCTACGCGTGATACCATATCAGAATTAGAGTAGTGAATGATTGTAGAGTGAGAGTACACACAGATATACCTAAGTGTTGTACCCTCTAAAAGGTGACCCTATACAGTCTATACAAACATGACAAATACACATGTTTGACACTCGGGAGGATCATTCGCCCTAGGGCCAGGGGAATATCATTGGGTCCACTCCATTCCGTTCTAGAGTGGTGGGGCAACCTAGTTATTCAGTGTGTTCGGATGGTCCTCGTGTGAGCAGTTGTGAGCTCTTGCGCATGGGCTAGCAGGGAATGGACGTTACATTCTGAATATTGTGTATATGTTGTTCACAATGACATCCGTGGCATCTGATAATGTTTAAAAAGATCCGTATACATTTGATAAAGCCACACTCAAAGAAGAGGGTAGGCAAGCTCCCTATCGTAACTGTGCATGGCAACACTCCTATTAACAAGCAATATTCGAACCTATGAAGTAGTTCTAGATCTCCTTAGCTTTCTCCCATCAATATTTGTCGTCCAAGACCACCTATATACCCCAACCATCACTACTCCTCTTCTTTCCTCATGCTTTCCTTCTTGCTCTTTACCTTACTCGCCTTCTTGCTCCTCACCTTACTCTCCTTGCTCTCTACCTTGCGCACTTTCTTGCTTTTAACCTTCATACTCTCCTTCTTGCTCTTCTTCGTGCCCTCCCCTCCACCCCTCACCTTCCTACTAACACTCACTTTCTCACTCGCTGTCTCCCCCTCCCCCTCAGTAACCTCGTCCTCTCTTGCCTCACCTGGAGAATTTTCAACTGCCGCTTTCCCTGACTCGTTAGTATCACCAGCAGACTCTTCCACAGTTGCTTTCCCAGACTCATTAGTATCACTTGCAGACTCGACCCCCTCACCTTCCGCCACAACATCAGCAACAGCAGAATCACCAGTACCAGCAGAATCATCAGCAGGTGCACCAGAAGCATCCGCACCATCAGCATCACCACCCGTACTTTCGGCATCACCAGCACTACCAGCATCAGCACCAGCAACAGCATCTCCAGCACCATCAGCAGCATCACCAGCACCACCAGCAGCATCACCAGCAGGACCATCACCAGCATCACCACCATCAGCAGCATCACCAGCACCGGCACCACCATCAGCAGCATCACCAGCAGCGGCACCACCATCAGCAGCACCACCTCCCTCAGACACCACCTCCACCTCCAGCCCGTCCTCGAGGGGCGGCGCCAGGAACGGACGGCAATCTGTGGCGCTATCTGGGCGCACAAGGCTCTCGTGAATGAAGCTCATCTCACAGCAGGCGGCACAGCGGTGGTTGTACTCTATGCTGAACATGCGGTACCCGAGATTCTCCAGAGTGTAGAACATCGTCAGAGTCTTGGCGGAATCACCCATGCTGCCAGCAGAAACGCACGACACCACCAAGGGGCGGCAGGCAAGGGAGGGAGGGAGGGAGGGAGGGAGGGAGGGTTGGGGGGGAAGGTACGGGGGAAAGATCAGGCCCGAGGGGAGAAGGGATGAGGGAAGGTGGTAAGGTGTGGTAGCCAAGACTCTTCAGCAAAGTGAGTCAGTTGGTGGAATTCGACGAGGATTTGCCCAAAAGGCGGCTTCCCTCCATGCACCGCCAGCCACTTCCCCGTGTTGTTATACTCCCTCACCCAGATGGATTCACACTTCACCTTGCCACCCACACAGCCCCACCCATGGCGAACACCCATGCCATTCACACTCGTACTTGAGATACTCCCTATCGAGCAACTCACTTGTGGAATTCGATGAGAATTTGACCGAATGGCAGCTTTCCCCCATGCACGGCCAGCCTCTTCCCGGTGTTGTTATACTCCTCTCCCAGATCCCTTAGCAACTCCACCTCGCACCCCTCGCAGTCGATCTTAAACACGTCCACGTAGGTGTGCCCGAACTGCCGCATCATCTCGGGCAGCGTCGAAAACGTTTTCTCGGGGAACTTGGAGCGGTAGGAGGGGAGGGTGGCGGATCCCGAGAGGCCGATCTCGAGGAAGTGGAGGAAGGGGAGGGACGCCATGACGGCGCGCTTCGCAGGCGGCAGGAAGGGGTCGAAGGTGTAGGGCTTGGTCCTCAGCATTCGGTGCATCTCCTTCTCAAACGAGTACATGCCGAAACTCCCGATGCTGCAAGGGGGAGGAGGAGAGGAGGGGAGGAGGGGAGGAGGAGAGGGGGGGGAAGAGGGGAGAGGGGGGAAAGAGGGGGGATGAGATGGGAACGATCGTGTGTGCCATCAGGTCAAGGGTGGGGGTTGGAGGATCCTGAGAGGCCGAGTTTGAGGAAGTGGAGGAAGGGGAGGGACGCCATGATGGCGCGCTTCTCAGGCGGGAGGAAGGGGTCGAAGGTATAGGGCTTGGCGCGCAGCATCCGGTGCACTTCCTTTTCGAACGGGTACATGCCAAAACTCCTGATACTGGAAGAGGGGGAGGGACCGGGTGGTGGAGGGGGTTGTTAGGGGGTTTGAAAGCAACGGTTGGAGAGAGTCTAATCGAGGCATACGGAAAAAAAAAAATGAGAGGAAAATCCAGGTGCATTCTCATTCTCAAAAACATTAAGGAAGTGAGGTAGGAGGCACATTAAGTGAACGGATTGCCATCAAGCCTGCTCACCTGTAAACGACTGGGTCTTTCTTCTGAATGGCAGAGGGAAGCATGCACGCCCACTGCACACATGAGATGGCGGTGGAAAGAGAGGAGAATGCGAGGAGAGGAGACTGAGAGTCAGTGGATTCACGGATAGATGACTTTGTATGCCAATGGATGGCAGAGAGCAGCATACAGGCCCTCTGTGCATGCCTGCTGATATCATCTGCGGATTCATCTATGCGTCCTCTCTTACGCGAGCTCCTTCACTCCCCCCAGCGCTCTCACCCTCCCTCCGTCGCCCCGCTTCCCGATGCGTTCGTTCAAGGGAGACGTGTACGTGGGGATGAGCACCAGCTCCTTCATCCACACCGGGTTGCAAACCATGCGACCCCCGTCTCCCCATCTCCCCGTTTCCCCCCAGTGCTCTCACCTTCCCTCCCTCGCCCCAAATGCCGATGCGTTCGTTCAGCGGGCACGTGCGCGTTGGGTTACCCTTCCGACCCCCGCCTCCCCATCTCCCCATTCCCCTCCAGTGCTCTCACCTTTCCTCCGTGCGTGGGAATGAAAGCCAGCTCCTTCATCAGCGTGGGGTTGCCCTTCCCTCTTCCCTGCTCACCATCTCTCCACACACCAGTACACCCGTTTCAAGCCTCTCACCTTTCCGCCGTCGCCCCACTTGCCGATCCTCTCATTCAACGGACACGTGTACGTGGAAATGAGCACCAGCTCCTTCATGCGCGTCGGGTTGCCCATCCATACCCCCATATCCACATACCCCCATACCCCCATACCCCATGCCCCCAATTTGCAGGGTGTTTTTGCGAATTAAAAAAAACACCCATCTTTCCCCCAAAACCCCCATATCCACATACCCCCATACCCCCATGCCCCCATCACCTCATCCCCCGAATCCCCAGCGCACCCACCTTTCCGCCGTCGCCCCACTTGCCGATCCTCTCATTGAGGGGGCACGTGTACGTGGGGATGAGCACCAGCTCCTTCATGCGCACCGTGTTGCCCAGAATCGGCTGCAGCACGCCATGGAATATGTCGCGTCTGTGCTCAATGTTCTCCTGAGGTGAGAAAAAGGAATGAACGGGAATGGAAAGGGCGACGGGAGTGGGATTAGATTGAAGGGGGAATGCGCGTGGGGATGACCACCAGCTCCTTCATGCGCACCGGGTTGCCCAACGGCTGCTGCGTGCCTTGAAAAAGCAAAAAGCAGGAAGGGGTGAGTTGGATTGGAATGTGAGTAAGATTGCAAGGAAATGCTAGCAGGACTGCCCGACATTGGCAGTAATCACCCGGTAATCGCACAGGCTATCATCACACGATTTTCAGGTGTCCTTACCCAGTAGTTCTCCTCCGCTCGGCAGATCGTCGCGTCGATCTTGCTCGTGCTGGGAAACAGAAACGCGACCCAGCCGAGATTCGGCGGAAGGTAACCACCGACGGACGAGCCGATTAATCCAGGCGACGGCTGCGATGGTGACACGTGGAAGAGGGTCATCATGGCGACGAGCACGCCTAGGGCGATGGCGTACGGCGTCAGGCACTTGATGCATGACTTGGAGTTCGGGGGAGGGTGGCTCTTCTTGGAATCCTCGAGGCAACCCATCGCGAAGAAAAACAAATTAAATCGATTGATGTCTTCGGTTTGAGACTGTCAGAAGGCTGAAGCTAGGAGGTCCAGAAGAAAGGGCCAGGAGATTATCAAAAGGTACCAGCCGTCGACGATGAGCTCAAGCGGTTCTGATTGAAGCTGGCTGCATTTGCAAGGAAGTCGTACACTAAACCAAGCTGAAAACTGTCTCGATTGAGAACATTTATTTGAGAACTGCTCGGCTTTCGTGCTCGGTAACAGCTTTCAGAAGGCTCTTGCTGATGCCTGACTGGACTGTATCCCTTCGCTGAGCATCAGCTCATGTCTACAGTCAGGAGTCACGACTAACAAACACAGCAGGATGGAGGGCACCGCCATGGCTGGTGCAAGTTCAACGGATGTCTCAACGAGCCAACTCTCCCTTGAAATCACATTACACGCATGAGTGCATCAATTGTACGGCTCTCTATCGTTTTGTAGAGAGTCGAAACCGTTATGTACCTTTCTGTATCCGTCGCTCGTCTGACAGCTCCCTGGTTCCGCTCCCCCCGTCTTCGCATGCCTGTGCTCGCGAGAACAAGGGGGGAAGGCCAACGATTGGGGGAGACTCCAGGGCTGCGCGGGGCAGAGGCCTAGGCTAGGTTTGGGTGGTGAAAGGAGCAGACAGGCCGGGCAGGCGGAAGAAAACTGCCTGGCGAATAACAACAGCCACTGGAGGGGTGTCAGGCAACAGATGTGGGGCCATATCGGTCTGGTCCTTTGAAGATCGGGCAGCCGAAACACTGGGACTTGTTCTTCTTTCCTCTCTCAGCAGGTTTGGACTGACCACAACTCCATTTCAAACCGCGGTCCCCGACCTGTCACTGTCAGTCCCTGCTGCCCGAACCAACTGACGTTGTTGCGGATAGGGCTTGTGAGCGAGGTTCGCATCCAGTCAAGCAGTCGCGTTGCCTCTTGGCGCCGCTTCCCGCTCCCTCGTCTTTGTCCGCGTTATCGTGAGCAGTCAGGACTTCAGTCACGCTACTCTTTTTTCCCAGTTTACATCCACCCCTCCTACTGCTAAGAACACTATGGATAGTGCAAAACACTTCCATGATGCTTAGAGTGTGATTACATGCTTTATCCTGACAATGGGGACCAACCGAAATGATTTCGTACAAAATAAACTACCACATTTGGTTCATAGTCTTACACTTACAACTTAACATCACTACATGTAGTGAAATCACCATCACTTTGAAATAACTTGTCCAATGTTGTAAAAGACTAGGTATAAAACTGCAAACACGAACACTTGGAAATCTTCAAGTGTTGGTCCAGGATCTTTACTGAAATGGTAGACTAGTTAAGACAGCGGAAGTCTTATAAGAGTGAACCTGAGCACATGAACTTGTGGGTAGTCAACGGTTGAATAACCTGAGCACATAATTCTGTGTAAAGTCAATGTTAATAATAGAAAGGCATTACAAGGATTTATAGCTCTAGAGAAAATACCTGTTCGGCTAATTGCGCGCTATGCGACCTATTCGTCATACTATAGGGTCGCGACTGTTTGCATGACTGAAACGATTCGTTACGCCTAATCGCGTAACTGAAGCGGTATGCTGACGTCATCCCGAGACGTACGATGCTTTGCTGACATCAGCACTCGGACCGGTTTACTTACTGAGAAACTCGATACCCCTAGCTACACTGAAAACGGAACTTGCAGGAATGGAAAACTTCATTTATCACAACACACTTAACATCACTACGTAGTCTTCTATTTGCATCCCCACACAACATTACCCATCTTTCTCAACTACGACCTTTCCTGTGCCAATTCCCTCCCGCTTCACTCATTTTCCTCTCTCATGGAATCCCAGGCTTCTAACCATTACTCTTTTTTACAACGCTTGCTCCAGAATCACTCACAGAAGAGTTACCACCTGCAACACCCCCTCCAACCTCCGTCTTCGTCTCCCCCTTCTCCCCCTCATCCTCCAGTGCAGGGGTGAGAAACGGCCGGCAGTCAGTGTCACTATTTGGCCGCACAAGGCTCTCGTGAATGAAGCTCATTTCGACGCAGTTGACGCAGTACGGGTTGTACTCTATGCTGAACATGCGATAGCCAAGACGCTCAAGTGTGTAGAAGGTTTCAAGCGTGCGAACAGGGCCGCTGGTACTGGATGTGGGAGAAGGGGGGAAGGAGGGGGGCGGGGGGGGTGTTTGGGGGAGGGTGAAGCAGTACGGGTTGTACTCTATGCTGAACGTGCGATAGCCAAGACGCTCGAGCGTGTAAAAGGTTTTGAGAGTGCGGACGGGGCCGTTTGTGCTGGTAAGGGGAAGTGGGGGGGGAGGGGAAAGGTGAGTTATAGGGGAGGGGAAAGCTGAGTTACGGGGGAGGGGAAAGGAGTAGGGGTTTGGCTCCATGCTGAGAATGATGTAGGCGAGATGCTCAAGAGTGTAGGGTTCTGAGTGCGAATGGGGCCGTTTGTGCTGGCAAGGGGAAGGAGGGTTGAGGAGGAGTGGTGAGGGGTTGGGGTGATATGGGGAGATATGAGGAAGTGGGGAGGAGGGGATGTAGCTATGCTGATCATGTGGAAGCCAGGAGATTTGGGAGTGCATGAGCATGCACAGACAGTCTTAGGAGTGCAAAAAGCAGCTTAGGAGTGCAAAAAGCAGCTTAGGAGTGCAAAAAGCAGCTTAGGAATGCAAAAGGCAGCTTAGGAGGACAAAAAGCAGCGTAGGAGTGCAAAAAGCAGCGTAGGAGTGCAAAAAGCAGCGTAGGAGTGCAAAAAGCAGCGTAGGAGTGCAAAAAGCAGCTTAGGAGTGCAAAAAGCAGCTTAGGAGTGCAAAAAGCAGCTTAGGAGTGCAAAAAGCAGCTTAGGAGTGCAAAAAGCAGCTTAGGAGTGCAAAAAGTAGCTTAGGAGTGCAAAAAGCAGCTTAGGAGTGCAAAAAGCAGCTTAGGAGTGCAAAAAGCAGCTTAGGAGTGCAAAAAGCAGCTTAGGAGTGAAAAAAACAGCTTAGGAGTGCAAAAAGCAGCTTAGGAGTGCAAAAAGCAGACCATGTATCTGGCGCCTTAAGAGTGCAAGAGATTTGGGAGTGGATGAGCATGCATGGACGGTTTTAGGAGTGCAAAAAGCAGCTGCCCTTTCCTCCATGCCCTCCCGAGAAGTGCATGTAACAGTCACTAAAATACCCCTACAGAGCGACTCACTTGTGCAGTTCAATGAGTATCTGTCCAAAAGGAAGCCTCCCTCCATGCAGGGCCAGCTTGTTCCCCGTGTTCAAATGCGCCGCTCCCAGGTCCTTCACCTACTCCTCCTCACACCTCTCAAAATTTCCCTTTACACTGCGTGTTGCGTATACCCCATATAGTGTGACTCATTACTCACTGGTGTAGGTCGATCAGAATTTGTCCGAAAGGCAGCCTCCCTCTGTGCAGCACGAGCTTGTTCCCCTTGTTCAAATGCGCTGCTCCCAGGTCCCTCACCAGCTCCTCCTCACACCCCTCAGAACCTTCCTCTACCCTGTGCAATGCGTACCCCTTATAGAGCGACTCACTGGTGAAATTCAATCAGAATTTGCCCAAAAGGCAGCCTCCCCCCGTGCAGCGTCAGCTTGTTCCCCGTGTTCAAATGCGCCGCTCCCAGGTCCTTCACCAGCTCCTCCTCACACCCCTCGCAGTCAATCTTGAACACATCCACATATGTGTGCCCGAACTGCCGCATCAGATCGGGCAGCGTTGAAAACTTTTTGTCCGGGGAGCTTTTCTTGTAGGCGGGGAGGGACTTGGCTCCTGAGAGCCCGATTTCGTTGAAGTGGAGGCAAGTGAGGTTTGCCATGATCTCGCGCTTGTTCGTATTGAGGAAGGGGTCGAAGGTGTAGGGCTTGGCGCCTAGTATCTTGTACATGGACTGCTCAAACGAGTACATCCCAAAGCTCCCAACGCTGTGGGGAGAGAGGAGGGGAGAGGGGAGAGAGGAGGGGAGAGGGGAGAAAGGAGAGAGGAGAGGGGAGAGAGGAGAGGGGAGAGAGAAGAGGGGAGAGGGGAGTGGGGAGAGAAGAGAGAGGAGAGAGGAGAGGGGAGAGGGGAGAGGGGAGAGGGGAGAGAGGAGAGGGGAGAGGGGAGAGGGGAGAGGGGAGAGGTGAGAGGGGAGAGGGGAGAGGGGAGAGGGGAGAGGGGAGAGGGGAGAGAGGAGAGGGGACAGGGGAGAGAGGAAAGGGTAGAGGGGAGAGGGAAAAGAGGAGAGGGGAGAAAGGAGAGGGGAGAGAGGAGAGGGGAGAGAGGAGAGGGGAGAGAGGAGAGGGGAGAGAGGATGGTAAGGCACGAGGGCGTATGGGATGAGAGGACGGTATCTCGTGCGCACAGTATTGTGTAAACGGATTGCTCAAACGAGTAAAAGTAATCGCTGGGGGGAGAGGGGAGGGCTGGACGAAAACGGCCGAGGAGGTTGTTGTGGCTGCTGTGGCTCTCCCTCACCCCCAAACAACCCCCTCACTTGCAAAGTCCTCCCCTCACGTGCACACTCTACTCCCCTCAGCTACACACTCCCTCACACCCTCACATTCCCCTCACCAGTTCGCACTCCTCACACCCGCACTCACCCTGCTCTCACGCTGCGCTCCCACTGCCCTCACCTGTATACGACGGGGTTAGTCTTCTGTATGGCGTTGGGCAGAAGGCACGTCCACTGCACAGAGGACGAGGGGAGGAAGGGGGGGGGGGGGGGAGGGAGGGGGTAGAGGTGGGGGGAGCGAAGGTGCACAGGGGGTTAGTGATTTTATCTTACTCCCTCTGCGTCTCATGCCCCACCTTTCCTCCGTCGCCCCACTTCCCAATGCGCTCGTTCACGGGGCACGGGTACGTGGGAAGAGCACCGCACTGCACCCCCATGCAAACACCTCGCCACTGCCTCAACCGCCTTCAACCTCTCACCTTTCCGCCGTCGCCCCACATGCCGATCCTCTCATTAACAGGGCACGGGTACGTGGGGATGAGCACGAGCTCGTTCACTCGCACCGGGTTCAGCACCCCAGTCCATATCCCCCATTCTCTACCGCACCTGGTGCCAAACACGCACCTTTCCACCATCACCCCATTTCCCAATCCGCTCGTTCACGGGGCACGGGTACGTGGGGATGAGCACCATCTCCACTCGAGACGATAGCCCCACCCCTTCGAGCCTCCCATTCCCCAACACATCCAATGCGATATGCTCACCTTTCCGCCGTCGCCCCACTTGCCGATCCGCTCGTTGACGGGGCACGGGTACGTGGGGATGAGCACGAGCTCCTTCACTCGCACCGGGTTCAGCACCCCACGCCATATCCCCCATTCTCTACCGCACGGGGCGCAAGCCACTCACCTTCCCGCCATCACCCCATTTTCCAATCCTCTCGTTCACGGGGCAGGGGTACGTGGGGATGAGCACCAGCTCCTTCATCCACACCGGGTTCCCCAACTTGGGCTGAAACGCGCCCTGGAAGATCGCCTTCCTGCGAGCGACGTTCTCCTGCACAGGCATTGAGAGAGCAGAGGCATTTAAGGGGTATGGCATGACGGTTGGAGGAAGGCAGGGGAATGGGAGTGGGCAATCACAGCACCATCTTGGGAATGGGAATGGGGTCCCCATCTCGGGCCGCAGCACGCCCTGGAAGATCGCCTTCCTTCGAGCGATGTTCTCCTGCACGGGCATTCAGAGAGCCGGGACGCAGGAAATACAAACAGGAGGAATGTTACATGAAGGGCGGGTTACCACCAAAGCAAGTCGTTCATTCATCAGCGCTGGGTTCCAAGCCTCGGGCTGCAGCACGCCTTGGAAGATCGCCTTCCTGCGAGCGATGTTCTCCTGCACGGGCATTCAGAGAGCAGGGGATGAAGTTTAGAGAAGGAAGATAGGGATACGGGGAGGGACAATAAGGGGAGGGGCAATAAGGGGAGGGGCAATAAGGGGAGGGGCAATAAGGGGAGGGGCAATAAGGGGAGGGGCAATAAGGGGAGGGGCAATAAGGGGAGGGGCAATATGGGAGGGACAATAAGGGAAGGGGCAATAAGGGAAGGGGCAATAAGGGAAGGGACAATAAGGGAAGGGGCAATATGGGTAGGGATAAGCGCCGGGTTCAACGCCTTGGGCTGCAGCACGGCGTTCAACCCCTGGAGGGCCGCCTTTCTGCGAGCAAAGCAATGCCCTCCTGCGCAGGAAATGCACGAAACGTAGCAAAGCAATACCATTTCATGGAAATACCATTTCCAGCTGGTAACAGCTGGAAAACAGGTTCTCCTCCGTACCACCTCCGTTACTGTAACGTCCGCTCGGCAAAATGCAGCGTCGTCGACGCTCCTCACGCTGGGAAACATAATTTTCTGTGTGGAATTATTACACCAGCAGCTCTGCTCACCCAATAGATTACGTCCGCTCGCCGTAGTGTAGCGTAGATGCTGCCGCTCATGTTGGAAAACAACCTCCCGGGCCACCCGGGAGCTCCGCAGATTGCGCCGTCAATCTCGTTCATGCACGCAAAAGTGCCTTATGTGCTAAAAAAACACAACACACGTTCACTCACCCAGAAAATAACGTCCGCTCGGCATAGTGCCGCGTCAGTGCCGCTCATGCTGGAAAACATGCTCCCAGCCCACCAGAGAGGCGGTAGCTGGCACGACTCCGGAAACAGCAGTCCTTTGACCGACACGTCAGGTGCGTCAGGTGCCAGGTGCCAGGTGTCAGGTGCCAGGTGTCAGGTGCCAGGTGTCAGGTGCCAGGTGCCAGGTGAAACTCCAGAAGGCGTGGTACTCACCCAGAAGATCACATCCGCTCGGCACAGAGCCGCGTCGATGCCGCTCATGCTGGAAAACATCCTCCCGGCCCACCCGAGAGGCGGCGGCTGGTGGGAGCCTGAGCCTCCGCCGTGGCTCCAGACCAGGGACATCAGCCCGGGATTCGACTGAATCGTCAGGTGAACGGGGATGATTATAGCGGTGATGACCGCTATAGCGATCGCGTAGGGTAGGCTGGATTTGAGCAAGGATGGAGATGCTCCAGACTTTAGGGAGAGCTGACGTGGAATGAGGGATTTCGGCCAGGAATCCAGCTTCTTGGGGGACTCCATGGCAGCCATTCTTCTCTAAGAATGTAGCAGGTCGAGGAATGTCTCTGTTTTTTTCCCTTTACTCAACCCTGAAACAGCGTGTATGCTGCGCGATACGACTGTGCGCAGCGTGACAGCTCGGATCCACGACGCTCCGACACGGAATCTTGCTTCCTACCGGGTCAAGTTAGGAGGTACGCCGGCTCACATGGGAGCAAACCGGAGCGGAGAGTTTAGTTACAGAAATTCCTGACAATGACAAGGAGTTGAGCACTGGGTTTTTCCTCGGGTTGTCTAAAGCTGTGCAGTGAGCTGCCAGGGTCTCGGTTTCAGGACGGTATAGAGCATTTCAATTGGGTGCCTTGCGTTTCTACACGGTACAGAAGTGTATATTCTGGTTCGGAGACACCATTGAGGCACGGGGCTCCATACAGTACAAGGATGATGCTGTACCTGCCGACCATCCAGTGATTCTCTCGTGAAGTGCCATACTTCACCACGACGGAACCCACCTAATCGCACCAAACCGTATTTCAGCACTCCCAGCTGACCGTCTGGATGGTATTTTGTCCCAATCGAACGGAAGTGCTTTCGTGCCCTACCTCGGCCTCCTCCCTGTCAGACCCCTCTGACACTTTCCCGCCAGCGGTTTGCCACGCAAAGGCTCGCATTCGCTGGTTCGCTGGTTCGCTGGCTCATCACTTTCGCTGATTGGTGCGTCCCTCCTCCGTTATCCTTGCTACTAGTGTCCTCGCGCAAAATATACGCTTGAAGAACTCTTAGATGATTCGACCATCGCATAAATTTTCGCGTTTCAACATCAAAATCATCAGCATAATAGCAAGCATCCTGGTCATTTCCAATCTTCAACTCAACGTCTCATGATATGGTCTTCAGACGGCTGATCACAGGCGGATTCCAGCATATTCAGTCTAACAAATTCATGGGGTTGCTACTGGTAGATTCACCGAACCTGCTCCACTATCTCCATTGGAGTCACCATGTAAGCCCAGCTTCTCCTGCAACACACCGACTGCATCTTCCTTCTTAGCAAACGTTTCCGAAAACAAAAACGGCCGACAGTCTTTCTCATTGCTTGGCCGCACAAGGCTCTCATGAATAAAGCTCATCTCACAGCAGTGCCAGCACTGTGGATTGTACTCGATGCTGAACATCCGGTAGCCAAGGTTCTCCAGCGTGTAAAAGAGCGGCAGAGTCACCACGGGAAGATTCATTCTGGCAGGTAATAAAAGGAAGCATTGGAAAGGGAGAGGGTTGGAATGTTAACGGGAGGAGGGCAGGCATCCACATGAAAGGGTAAGCTGCTAGGAGAACCTGGCCAATCAGATAAGTGGAAGAAGAGACGTGATGAGGCCAAATATAGCTCAATAAAGAGATCCACTGTACCCCTCACCCCCCTTTCCCTCCCGCCCCCACCAATCCTCCCCCTGCCAGCCCCTACTCACTTGTGGAACTCAACCAGGATCTGCCCAAAAGGCAGCGCCTCCCCGTGAATGGTCAACTGAGCAGCAGCATTGTTCGCTGCTCCAAGCTATACCAACCATTCACCCAGTACTCACTTGTGGAACTCGATGAGGATCTGCCCAAAAGGCAGCGTCCCCCCGTGAATGGTGAGCTGCGCAGCCGCGTTGTTATTTGCTGCTCCAAGCTCCGTCAGCAGCGCCTCCTCACAGCCCTCGCAGTCAATCTTGAACACGTCCACGTAGGTGTGGTTCATCTTTTGCATCATACCCTCCAGAGTCATGAACTTCAGTCCAGGGAATTTGTCACGGTAGGTTTTAAGGGAGACGCTTGCAGAGAGGCCGATTTCATTGAAGTGGAGGATGGAGACGCGTTTCATGACGGCGAGCTTGTTGGGGGTGAGAAACGGGTCGAAGGTGTATGGCTTCACTTGCAGTATCTTGTAAATCGACTCCTCAAACGAGTACTGGCCGAAACTGCCGATGCTGTGGGTGGGTGGGCACAGAAGGTGTGGGAGGATGGGCACAGGAGGGTGGAAATATTTTTTCCATGAGGGATTCATGAGGGCTTCATGAGGGCTTCACGAGGGCTTCATGAGGGCGAGCCTGTTGGGGAAGGCGTCGAAGTGTATGGCTTCATGTGAAGTACCATGTAGATCGATTCCTCAAACGAGTAATGGCCAAAGATTCCAATCATGTGCGTGGGGTGGGCACAGAAGGTGGGTCTAATCTCTGCTTTCCCCTTCGTTTGCCTCATAGTTAACCCCGTGATTTGCCCCTGACGCTCCACCCTCCTCATACCCTCTGAACTGAGCTCACCTGTAGGCGACGGGGTCCTTCTGAATGGCATCTGGAAGTAGGAACGACCGCTGTGCCGGGTGAGGAAGGTGGGTGGGTCCCCCCTCTGCTTTCACCTACTTGTGCCATCACCCTGAACTCCCCATCATTACCTTCCCCGAACTTCACCCTGACGCTCACACGCTCCTGAACACCCTCTAAAGGTCATACCCCTCCCACTACCCTCACCTCCCCCCCACTACCCTCACCTCCCCCCCACTACCCTCACCTCCCCCCCACTACCCTCACCTCCCCCCCATTACCCTCACCTCCCCCCCACTACCCTCACCTCCCCCCCATTACCCTCGCCTCCCCCCCCACTACCCTCACGTCCCCATCACCATAACCTCCCCATTGCCATCACCTGCCAACAACCCTCTCCTCCCCATTACCCTCACCTCCCCAATACCCTCACCTCCCCAATACCCTCACCTCCCCAATACCCTCACCTCCCCATTACCCTCACCTCCCCAATACCCTCACCTCCCCAATACCCTCACCTCCCCAATACCCTCACCTCCCCACCACCACCCTCACATCCCCAGTACTCTCACCTGTAGACGACAGGGTCCTTCTGAATGGAGTTCGGGAGCAGACAGGTCCACTGTGAGGGTGAGGAAGGTGGGTGGGGTTGGGCAATCAGAGATGAGGGGGTGAAGGGAGGTAAGGATTCAGGTTTCGAAACAAAAACACGTTTGGTAGCAGACAGGCCCCAGGGGGGGGTGGGGGGGTGAGGAAGGTGGGTGGGGGCGTAAGGTTAAAGGAGGGGAAGGAAGTGTTGATGCATTGAGGGCTCTTGAGACGTGCTGCTAAGCTGGCAGGTCCACTGGGAGGGTGAGGAAGGTGGCTGGGAGATGGAGATGGGAATGTGAGAAGGAGGCCCAAAAGAAAGGAAAATGAACGCGAGTTAAGTGAATACAAGGCAAATAAGTGCAAGGTAATGAATGGAAGGCAAATGAATGCAAGGTAAATGAATGGTAAATGAATGCAAGGTAAATGAATGGTAAATGAATGCAAGGTAAATGCACATTTCACGAGTGGGTTGCACTTCGACTCTGAAAGCATGGCAAATTCTGTGAGAGCATGGCAAATTCTGTGAGAGCATGGCTGATTCTGTGAGAGCATGGTAGATTCTGTGAGAGCATGGCAGCATGTGAAAGCATGAATGGACCATGGCTGGGGAAAGCATGAGTCGAGAATGCCTTCACTCCCTACCCTCCCTCTGTCTGTCCGCGTCACTGCTTCCCTCTTCCCCTCACCTTTCCGCCGTCCCCCCATTCCCCAATGCGTTCGTTCACAGGGCACGGGTAAGTGGGGAGGAGCACGCGCAGCTTCATGGTGACGTCAGTCATCGAGGCAGGCACCGGTTGCAGCGTGCCATTGCACGCCTTGCGCCTCAGGACTCGGTTCTCCTGTAAGTGTTAGGGAGGGGGGGAAGGGGGAATTCTGATGAGGAGGGGAGGGCTACCACTGGCTTCATGGTGACGTCAGTCATCGAGGCAGGCACCGGTTGCAGAGCGCCCTTGGACGCCTTGCGGCTCAGCGCTCGGTTCTCCTGTGAGCGTTCTGGGAGGTGGAGGTGGGGCCGGGGGGGAAGGGGAGGTGTAAGTGGGGATGAGCGCGACCGTCGTTGTGGCAACAATCGACGCTGAGGCACGGACTGATTGGAGCGAGCCGACTTCAAAGTCGACTGGGAATTTTGCTTCTGAGTGGACTACAAAGTCGAAATTTGAGACGTCTCAAAAACCGGCATCGAAGCATGCCACTGGCTGGTGCGAGGCGACTTTTGAGCCGACCCCAGACGTTTACTCAGAAGTCACTACGGCCGACAAAATCAAGGCACACACTGGCTGGAGCTAGCCTTTGCAGGTCTTGCGCCTCAGCACTGGGTTGTCCTGCGAGCGTTTGGGGGAGGCTGCTGGGACAGAAGGGAACGAGACTCGGAATCGGATTCGGAACTCACCGAGTGATTCGCCTCTGCACGGCATCACATCGCCGCTTCAATGCCGCTAGTGCCGGGAAAAGAGCGAAACGCGGGCAAGTCATAGAGTGACAAATGCTGGTACAGAACGGATCTACACCCGGAATCCAAACTCACCCAGTAATTCGCCTCTGCACGGCACATCGCCGCGTCAATGCCGCTCATGCTGGGAAAGAGGAATGCAGCCCATCCGAGGCCAGGCGGCTGGTACGGGAGTGACGCTGCCGAACCTCCGCCGCTGCTCCAGCCGCTGGATAGCAGGCCGGCAGGAGACTGGAATGCCAGGTTGATGGGGATGACTATAGCGAGGATGACGACGAAGGGGATGACGTAGGGACGGATAGTGCTGACGACCTGCTCGCTAATTGTGCGTATGGATTCGAGAGCTGGCTCGCTTCTGGCGTGCAGGTCTGACAGAACCTTCTGGTAGACAGCCATACTAGAAATCACGGCTAAAAAAAACGGCTGTTAAATTTTCCCAGCGGGCTTCAGATGCCAGTTAGAGGCTCGTCGGTAAGTGGCGGGAATGGCGATCACGGAGTTGATGTACGGTCAAATTGGTGGGAGTTCATCTACGAAGATGCATGCGAGAAGCCTGGATGGAGAAGGAGGCTGAATGACTTCAGACTGAATGCGTGGTGTCTAAAGAATGCAGCAGGTACGCTTGGAAATATATTTGCCAGATATCCGGTGTGAGAAACGAGCACAGTTACGTCCTGCTATGTGAGCCCTGAGAATGAATAAATCCAGGTTCGGGAATATTTGCTAGATATATCGGGGAAAAATAGACTAGTTGCTGCGAGCCCTGAGAATGAAGGAATCCTGGACCTGGGGATCCGAGCCGAACATAGCCCGTCCACGTGGGTCAGTGATAGGCCGTGTATCTTCAACGCAAGCACAATATCAGGGTTTCGTGTTGGCTGTCTCCAGAAGGATCAAAGAATGCAAGGGATGGCGTAGTGACAGATGCAGGGGGAGACTAAACGCTGGATTCAAGACGGTACAGAGGATTCGAGTGCGGTACTATCTTTGAGCAGGCCTGTCGGCCCTCCCGTTTCAGCGGTTCCGTGACTGTGGTCAAGCAGCCAATGGCAGCCCAGAAACCCATTTTGGCGGGAATCTGAAACCGGCATGCCGCAGTTACTCCGACCGCAACGGTCATGTCTTGCAAAACCGACCAAGAGATGACGGTTCATGGCCGTCAATTATTTCCCAGAGGAGAGCGCTGTAACCTAAACACTACAGTCAACTCACGTGGTGCTAATAGAGTGGATGTGTATTTGTAAGGAAATGGTATTTACTTATCATGGGCTTTACTCAGTAACGCGTACACTGATATAACGGGGTTGTCGTGCAGCTCTGCCACGAAATTCAAATTGCGGTCCAAAATGTGGCCTCCTTACGAGCCGCATGCATTATTGCCCGCCTTGTTGCAAGCCTAGATCTGGGCGCTTCGTGCCAATCTACGAATCACACGTCGCAGCTAAGCCGAGCCACGACCATATACTCATAGGCTAGCGATTACCAACATATTTATATATTGTTATAGGCTAGATAGTGCATGCTGATAGAGAGTACAGCTGTCAATATATATTTATATCTGTTATGGACTAGATAGGTGCATGCTCATAGAGAGTGCAACCCCTTAGGACAAAACCACCCTGTATAACTCATTCTAGTATATTCGTTACTCTGAGATGGTATCATGCGCTAGATTAGGTCCTCCCCGCCCACCCGCGCTTCCGCTCTAGTCCTAGTCCTAGCCCTAGCCGCCCATTGCTAGACGCCCGTTGCTAGCCCCCGTTGCTAGCCGCCCGTCGCTAGCCGCCCGCTCCTAGCCGCCCATCGCTAGCCGCTGGCCGCCCATCGCCTTGTGCCGTCCTTAGCCGCCAGCCGCCTGTAGCCGCTGGCCGCCCGTAGCTGCCAGCCGCCTGTAGCCACTGGCCGCCAGCCGCCTGTAGCCACTGGCCGCCAGCCGCCCGTCGCCACCGGCCGCCCGTAGCCCCGCGCCCGTCGGCCCTAGCTCGCCCCCCCCCCCCTGCTAGCTCGCTGGCCCCGCTCGCCGGCCCCTACTCGCTGACCCCGCGCTCTCTAGCTCCGCGCCCGCTGGCCCCGAGTTCGCCAGCCCCTCACTTGTTAGCCCAGCGCCCGCCAGCCCCACGCTCGCTGGCCCCGCCCTCGCCGGCCCCGCGCTCACCAGCCATGCGCTTGCTGTCCCCGTACTTGCTGGCTCCGCGCTCGCCGGCGCCACGCTCGCTGGCCCCGCGCTCGCCGGCGCCACGCTCGCCGGCCCCTTGCTCGCCGGCCTGTAGATTGTGGCCCCCTTGCTCGCAAGCCCCCAGCTCCGCCAACCCCAGCTCCGCAGGCCCCAGCTTCGTCAGCCCCAGCCCGCGCCGTCCCTGCGCCGTCGAGGCGCCGAGCCGTCGTGCCGCAGTGCCGCCGTAACGCCGTGTCGCTGAGCCGCCGAGCCGCTCTACCATCCCGACTTGCCGGCCTTGGCTCCCCTCTGAGCCGGCGCTTCCCCCGGCTGTCTTCACGCTCTCCACCGCATTCCACCACACTCCACCGCTCTCCACCACTCTCTACCGGGGATCTCCACCGCTCTCCACCGCCCTCCGTCACTTTCTTCCCCCTCTAGTGGCAGTAAGCTCCTGCAGCACTGGTGATGGCAGACTCTGTGCTCCGCCTGGACGCGGAGGGTCGGGCGGTCGATTTTGAGGCGTGGCTCGTCGACCTCCGCCACCAGCTTACCAGTCATCGCCAAGACGGCTACTCCCTGGCTGTCCATATCGACGGTAAGCTCCCCTGCCCCGACGCACCTGCTACCCTCCCTGACACCCCCACGTATGCTGAGCGTGAGACCTTTGCCGCTGCAGAGCTTGCCCGCCCTGTCTGGGAGTCGCGCGACGCTGTCGCACATCTTGCCATTAATCACGCCCCCCCCCTGTCTGAGTGTCCCCGCTTTACCGCTATAGCAAATGCAATGGAGTACTTAGATGCGGTAATTGCGCACTATTCCATTCCCTCCTTCGCCTCTGCCGACCATCTGATCCTTCCTATGCTATTCCCTGATCTTGCGTCCTTCCCCACTGTCGCTCACCTTGCCACCCATCTCTTCGCACTTGAGACTAGCTACCATGCTGCTAGCACTGAGAGACAGCTCACTGCATTCTCGCCGCCGCTTTGTGCTACCCTTAACCTCATTCCCACATGCCTCCCTGACCGCCTTGCCACTCCCTGCGACCACTTTCTTAGTCAGCACCCAGGTGACCTCACCCTTACCGCCTTTTTTGAACGCCCTGTCTGCAATAAAGGCCCGCCAGCACACTATCGCTCATTCTAGTGGTATTGCGGCAGTCCCTATCTTCCAAGGCTGTGCTCCCTCCCAGTGCACTTACTCTGACATTTCTACTGTTGCTACTGAGAAAGCCCCTGCTGCTGAGACCGCTGACGTGACCTCAACGCAGCCGCGCCAGGGTAAGGGCCACTGCCCCAAAAGGGGGCGTGGCGGAGGGAAGGGTGGTGGGGGTGGTGGGGGTGGCGGAGGTGGAGATGGTGGAGGGGACAGTAGTGCAGACGAGGGGACCGGGGCTGATGCCGCGGAGCGGCAGCAGCAGTAGCCGTGGGGACCCCCGCCGCCGTGGTGGCCTAGCGGCGCTGGTGGTGATGGTCGTGGTGGCGGGCCGCGCAACTCGGTGTCAGGTGGTGGCTCCAGAATGGTCACATGCCAATACCAACTTCACTCTAGCCCCCACCGCGGCATCGTCTGCGACCATCCCGGTCACACCGCCGCCCGCTGCTACCGCCGCCTCGATGACCTCTACCGCCCCCTGACTAGTACAGCCTGGTGCGTCGCCGTGTCCTTGTTTTTTAGCTGGACATGGATCAGATTAGGAACGCTATGTATGTCATGTATGCGGATGACTCTAGTGTGACTGGACCATATTACCCTGTGTTGCCTAGTGTAGGTGTGCCCCCTGAATGTAGTCTAGGCTCCTCTGCTGCATCAGGCATAGGACCACCTGCCTTGTTTAGCCACGGCTCGACTCTTTCTCCCCCGCCTACGGACGCTACCGACACGCTCACTTTCACGCTCAACTCTGGTGCGTCAGCGTTCTTCTTTTGCGACAACACTTCACTCACGCCGCTTGCCGCACCTGTCGCTGTAGCGCTTGCTGACCCCTCATCAGGTCCGGTACTTGCACGTAGCTCTACTACCCTTTCCTGTCCGGTGATTCCCTTGGGCTCTCTAACAGGCTTGCACATCCCCTCGTTCTCCAGGAACCTAGTTGATGTCGGCTGTCATCAGGACCTAGGTGCCACCACTACGTTTCTTGGACACGAGCGGTATGCAGTCTGTACCGAGGCCGCCACTAGTGCCCTTCTCACCACGTTCCCTCGGGACCCCATGTCTGACCTGTTCACCCTATACATCGCGTCCCCCCCGGTGGGAGCGTCCCCCAGGTCGTCGCGCCCTCCAAGGTTGCTGCGCCTTTGCTCGAGTTCGTTGCTCACCCACCCGTCGCTGCTATGGCACCACTGCTTAGGTCACCCCGCACTCCTCCGTCTACATCACAGTATTGTCTTAGGTCTCCCTGCATTGCTCCCTTCCCTCCCTCCCTCGCTTGCGCTGCCGTGCACAACCTGCGTCGAGGGCCGGCTGCGCCGTGCTCCTCACTCCTACTCGCTTCCCCCTACCACTGCGCCATTCCAGACCCTGCATCTGGACTTCTGGAACCCAGCCTCCGTCCCTCGGCTGCGTCGAGAGCGCTACTTTCTAGTGCTAGTCGACAACTACACGCACAAAACCACCGTGTTTCCCCTAGAGCGAAAGGCCGACGTGCCTGGCATTCTTATCCCGTGGGTCGTAGCTGCGCGAGTCCACCGTGGCCTCCCCATGCTGCGTCTCCACTCCGACCGTGGTTGGCTTGGCCAGTACTGTCGTGCGGAGGGCATCACTCAATCGCACACCCTGCCGGACTCCCCGCAGCAGAATGAGGTCACTGAGCGACGCATCGGTTTGGTCATAGAGGTGGCTTGTACCTCTGTGATCTATGCTGGTGCACCCCATTTTCTGTGGCCATTCGTTGTTCGCTATGCCACTCACCAGCCTAGCATGTGGCCATACTCCCAGCGGCCGCAGGTTTTGCCGACCCTCCTCTAGACCGGGTCCCCTGGTGACGCGTCTTCGCTCCACGTCTGGGGCTGCCTCACTCACGTTCGGGCCTCTGGCATGAATAAGCTCAGTGCCTGCATTGTCCCTTGTGTCTTCCTTTGTTTCACCGCTTCTTTCACTCTCATGACGTCACTTTTGACGAGTCTGTCTCCTCTTGTACTCGCTTTCCCCACCGAGGTCTCCCGGTTATCTCGGCATTGTTTCTGGTCCCCACTCCCCCGGATGCCCCTGCTCATCTCCCTCCCCATCCTGCCCCGTCTGGTGTGTCTCATGTCACTCCCCTCCCATCGGTTGTCCCGGTGGAGGAGTCGGCTGACTCTCAGGGCCTTGCGGCTCCAGTTTTGCCGCCATTTTCTGCCCAAGTGTCTCCTTCTCCGCCACCGCAGCAGCAGCTGCTGTCGCCCCTGCAGCACCAGTCGCCGTCGCCGCCATCACAACCACCGCCGCCACAGCCGCAGCCGCCACAAGGGTCTGTGAGCCCTGCGAGTGCGGGCGTTGAGGAGGGTGCTATTCCTGTGGGTACTGTCGTGGCTTGTCCTGGCGGTCCTGGGGGTGGCACTGATCTTGGAGAAGGTTCTCGTTCTGGGGGTGCTGATTCTGGGGGTGCTACTCCTATCCTGTCTCCAGTCTTGACGCTCTTGTCACTGCAGTCGCTGACTTTGCCTCTACCCGCCGCCTTGACTACGCCACAGCTCTGGTC